GTGGGGTGGGGCTGGGATGTTGACGTTCATGTACACTTGCAGATGATGTTGATGCTACGCCATGTTTCTTTACTGTGTGTTGTGTGGGGTGTGGATGGGGTGGGCTTGTCTGGTTTTTAAACATCTTTCCTGCCACGACCTTCGAGCAGTCGATACACCATTGAATCACTGGTCTGCCTGGAGTTGTTCAACAAATGCTGCGATGTTTTGTTCTGTATAGCAGTGTCCAGTGTGCAAGCCCTTTGTATCATGTCAGATCCCTCTCAGGCGAGACTCTTTTGATTTGCGGGCCAAATGATTTGGACCACTTGAATCAATTGAATCAAGAGCATGTTGTTTCGATCAATCGACCGTGCGGGAATTTTCCGATTCATGATGGTGTGTAGTTGTTGACATAGACAGGTCGTAGGTGGATTGTAGGTGTTTGAAGCCCATTGCTTTTCGGACAGACGTGGGTCCACCGTTCCACTGGCCAGCTGTTGGTTGGCCTACAAAGACTTGATGCTTCGGTGTCCGTTGGCTGCAATTGCAGCTGGTGGGGAGTACTAGTTTGACTTGATACTTCGCAGTTTTGGTTCTTTTTTTCAAGTCAACTGGCACGAAATTCGTTTTGGACATGTGCACAGGCATGGTATCAATGCTCCAGTGGCTTTTTTTCTGCATACAATTTTTTCTCATGATGGTTTTCGACAAGGTTACATTTGGACACGTCTTTTATTTTTTGCTATAGCCATGCTTACGGATCGACAGATCCTGGCTTTCACCTGGCTGATATGGCTCCGCACAGCCGCGGTGCGTCTCCCTCCGCTGCTGGTGGACTGGGCCAACCCTTCGCTAGGATTTCTCGATGAAGTGCACGCTGTGCCTTGTTCTTGTGTTTTCGTCCATCCATATGTGTGCTTTCTGCGTCGTTTCCATATAATTCTGGACTTGTTCAAACACATGTATATACGGACCTATTGACCTCGTTTACTGCCATTGACGACATGCAAAGCACGCCGGCCATGCAGGTGCTGACCTCGCCCTGCTGTGGCGATGAGACCTTGCTGGCGACTCAGCAGGTGGTCTATGCCACTTCAAATTTGGACTGGCAGCAACTCACGGATGGCTTTGTCTTATTGAAGGATGCCTGGCTGCGTTTGCAACGTGTCTCTCCACTTCCATCTTCTGCGCTTGCCGCTGCCATCCGTGTTTTGTCGCACCGTCTGTTCCTGCGGACAGCTGATTCTTGGGGTT